TCAAAACATTTTATTGGGATCTAATTATATAACATAAATTTTCTTTGAATTAGTGTTTCTCCTTGTAACTACCACAATTCATTACTATTTACTCCCTCTATTTAAAAAAATAAAGCATTTTTTGAAAGGTTAGATGTTTAAAAATGTAAAATATTTTTAATTTTTTAAGATATAATCATTATCTTTTTTAAAAAAAAGTGTCAATGTTGAATAAATTACTTTATATTTATTTTAGGGTGAAACAATCTATTAAATAAGGGTAACTATAAAAAGATAGAGTTAATTTGAAAATAAATAAATATTTTATTGAAGAGTAAAATTTGATTAAAAATACCTTATATTTTTTAATAGAGAAAGTAATATTTATTATTAAAAAGTAATTTGAAATTTTTTATGTGATACACTAAAAATATAAAAACAATTTACCTAATTACATTTTCTAATAAATTAGTTAATTATTTTTAAATTGACATAATCTTTTTTTATTTACCCTTAATAGGGTGTCTTACTTAAAGGTGGAGAGTTAATTGATTTATTTATTAAAAATAGTTTTAGAAAAAACTCATTAATTTTTTTATCTGTACTTCTGTAGTATTTCTTTAATTCTATTTATAAATTCTTTTAATATATTTTATCAGAATAAAAAAATCTTAAAATTTATTAATTATGTTTAAAAATTTACTAAGTTTTTAATTTTGTTTTTATTAAATATATATATATATATATATTAACAATCTATTTTTCTCTTCAACATGCAATAGAGGGTAAAAGAAAAAACTTGTAATAAAAATTTAATTACGTGACTTATAAATAAGATCCAAAAAATCATATCTCCCTATCATATAAATACAATTAAAGGAGGGAGTATGTTTTTTATAGTATTATCATAATTAGACCAAATTGGCCAGTCTGAACGGTTGAATTGGGAATCGATCATAAGTTTAACAGGTTACAATAAAAACTATTCATTCTGCAAACTGGTCAAAAAACTAGTTGAACCAATCAAATTTGACAAAATTAGTGGACAAATTGGTCAAATCGGTCCTGCTATTTTTTAATTTTAAAATTCTAATTCATATTTTTAAACTAAAATTAATGTCTATTTATACTTAATAAGTATTGATAAATGAAGAAAAATGAAAAAAAAAACATAAGAAATGTGTGTATATATGTTTTAAAGTTATAAATCATAAATTATGAAGTAAGTATATATATTTTGGATTAAAATGAAGAAATATCAATGGATATTACTTTTTTTAAAAAATTTAAAAATTTATTATTGTTATTATATATAAATATTTCATATTATTTTAATAATATATTATTTAAATATATCAATTTATTCATGAATGGTTGAATCATGGTTTAAACCATGGTTTGATCATTAAATTATAAACTAATTCATTGATGCCCTATTCAATTTATTGATCGACTTGATTTTCATAACATTAGTTTTTAATGCAATTACCATCATCATATTACATTAATTACATTGCTTATTATGCTAAAGTAAATTACAGTGTTTCAAAATTTATTGTAAAGGACCTGCCACGACATAAGCCATTCATATGCAAAGTATGACCTAAGCTAATTAACAAATTAATACAAAAAAATAAAATAAAATGTATTTCTTTTACTATTATGGGCAGATGCCAACGATCGACTCAACAAAATATAAATCTTCGTCTAAAAAAAGAACAAAATCTAAATCCAAAACTCAGAAGAAGGGATGTAAATGATATACTCCTAGTCCTGGGTGAATATCTCTTTGGAAATATATTAGTCAAGAATCACACAAAAAAATTTACATTAATAAAGGATTAATAAATTTTGAAATTGCATTATAGTGCTTCAATCATTGACTATATTAATTTTTTAAGTGAAAAGATCAAATTATCCTTAAAATTTAAAATAATAAAAAAAGCTAACCCTTACTACTATTGTTGGCACTAGCTGCAAGACCACCATTAGAGCCCCTACCAACTTTAAAAATTCACTTAGAATTAACAATAATTTATTCAGGTCTAAATAAGTTAAAAAATATAGGATAAACTTAATTACACGTGTTAATCCTTGATCAATAAATATCTATTTGAGTTTTGATAATAACTCATTTATGATTAGCAATAATACATTCAAACATTCAAACATTTAACGAATAAAATGTATGAAATTTTAAAGTTCATAATTTGTAATTGTCCATATTAAATTAACAAGTAATATTAATAAAATAACAAATGTCGTTTAAGAACTAAAAATACATTATTATGTTATAATATAGAAATAGTTATAAGTTACTTTACTACTTATATCTTTTTGCCACATATATAATTAAAAGGGATCATGCCACCAAGCTTTTTTAGATAGTTAAGGGGTCATGTGATCAAACTCTCCTTTTGTCACTTTTGCCAATTATTTTTTAACAAAGTTATTGCTAGTGTTGAAGTTTTAGTGACCGGCCATAGGGTAGGGGCTCCAGCAATAGTGGGGAATGGCTTTTTTTTTAAAAAAAATTTTAAACTTAGGAATAATTTAATCATTTCACATAAAAATAATATTAATTCAAGACTCAAGAACTGCAGCATAATTTTAAAATATATTAATTTTTGATTGATATAAAATTTGCTCCCATGTTTATTGACTAATATTTTCCTTGTCTTTTTTGGTCAGTTGGTATTTTGCATGTTGCATCCTATTATTGCTCCTGCAGTCTCGTTTATATGTTAGGAGATTATTTGGTTTGGTTTTATTTGTAGGGTATTTTTTTTACTTTTATGTTTATTTTTATTTTTTATTAAATGTTGAAAAAGTTATTAAATTTTGAAGCATTTTATTTTAAAAGTATATATATAATAAAGATAAAGTTAAAAAAATTTTAAATGATAATAATAATGTTTAATATTTTATTTAATTCCGGTAAAAATAGTTGCTAAATGATACTAAAATATCACTCATTTTATTTATAACTAATAAGTTAGTTACTACAAGAAAAATACTTGAAAAAGCGAGACATTTTATGTCAAATTCTTACCAACCGAAAAAATTACATCATTTTACGACGGCAAGAATCAATAATAGCTGCCTCCTAAAAAATTGACCAAAAAAGAAAGCAATGGGAAGAAGAGCCATTGAGTTGGAGGCAGACTCGGGCATGCATAAGAGGCACATGCGTGAATGTGAACAATTTCTCCTTTTCTTGCCCCACTTCTTTAAATTCTCAGAGTCTCCTCTAATGGGACGTGGACACACAGATATTGAACAACAAAAGTTGTAAATTGCAATTCAATGTACCACGCAGAGAGCAGAAGCAGCAAGATGACAAAGATGTTGGAATGCACAGGTTCAAACGGCGACGACGCACAGTCCAGGCCCCTTACATCAGAGCTCACCGATGATGGAGAGGACGCAGAAGCACCAGAACACACAAGAATTAACGGCGCTGATGGATGCTGGGGCAAAATCTTGGACTTGAAGGAGGCCAAGAATCAACTCGTGTTTTCGCTACCTATGATTATTACTAACGTCTCCTATTTCTTTGTCGCTCTGGTTTCTGTCATGTTCGCCGGCCACCCTGGCACCTTCAGCTTGCTGGTGCCACTCTAGTTAACTCGTGGTTCACTGTCACTGGCGCCGCCGTTATGGTAAGAGCCTTATCCTTTTCTTTTTATATGCTTATTTTTTTACACCAGAGTATTCTCAACACCGCAACTAAACTACAATGTGAGTAAATTCTAATCCGACAATGAATCCGGGCCTAATGAAATGGGTAGGTTAGGCATTTCCTAAATGGGATTGTTTGGTTCGTTTTCCTTTTATTCGAGATAAGATTGAAAACGTGGTATTTCATAGCAAACCATTATTTACATTGTAAATTATACCGCCTCATTTCTTCGATCAATCTTCCAAACAATAAGTGGATTTTCTCCTTCATTTCAACCTCATTGAAATCAGCATATATTCAAAGAAGTTAATATTAATACCTGTGTTAACTAGTTGGTGAATTGGTTTATAGCAAGACCCATGAGATAGGTACAGAGTTCAAAGTGCTTTCACGACACACAGCTGATAAAATGAGCCTGATACGTTTTGAATTTTGATGTGTGTAAGGAGCCATGAGCTCCTGATCCTTAATTTGTCTTACTTGTAAGACTTAGATAACAAATTGAGACAATGCATGTAGGGTAGCTTTTCCAAGTAGATTGAGAAATTGAACTGATTTGCCATGAAATTATTCAGTGATAACAAATTGAGATGAAAGTATGGCTTACTTTTCCTACAAATTATAAGAGCTAGGTCCATCAAGCATTCAGGAACAAGTTCTCACATCATATTCTTCTCTTTATTCATGTCTAAGGTTGGGTGAAGTGGGGCACTAGAGACATTATGTGGGCAGGGATTTGGAGCAAAAGAATATGAAATGTTGGGAGTGTATCTTCAAGCCTGTTGCATCATATCCCTCATCTTCTCCACCATTAGATCCATCATTTGGTGCTTCACAAAATCTATCTTATCTTGCTTCATCAATCTCAAGACATTTCAAGCACAGCTGCTCTCTATATGAAGTTTCTTGTCCCGGCATTATTTGCATATGGATTCCTTCAGGACTTCTTGAGGTTCCTTCAAACACAATCTGTTGTGATGCCATTGGTGGTCCTCTCTACTCTTCCACTTCTGATTCATATTGGCATGGCATGTGCCTTGGTCCATTTGACATCTTTGTGTTTTAAGGGTGCTGCCATTGAAGTTTCTATCACTTTTTGGGTAGCAATGCTTTTGTTGGCATTGTATGTGGTGAATGCAAGGAAGTTCAAGGACACTTGGACAGGGTTCTCTTTTCAGTCTTTCGTTACATCCTCACTGTCTTGAAACTAGCTCTTCCCTCTGCTGGTATGGTCTGGTATGTTTCTCCACTTACCTTCCACTTCACCCATTTCCATTCGCAAATTTGTTAACTACAGATGCAGTTACTGTTACAACTTTTAGGGAGTGCAATCTCATTTCAGTTTAATGCCTCACTCTGAACTTATGAATCATTCTGTATGTTATATTATGCAGGCTCGGAGTACTGGGCCTTCGAGATTTTGGTTTTCTTAGCTGGATTACTGCCAGATTCAGAGATAACCACTTCACTGATTGCAATATGGGATGATTGTGATGCCTTTGCATTTGTGTATGCTTTGTGTTAACCTCATTAATCATCATTAATATTTGCAGTGTCAACACAGAAGCCATTGCCTACATGATTTCTTATGGTCTGAGTGCAGCAGCAAGGTCAGAAATAATGATTAATGACACATAGTTTCCGCTCCTTATTCTGCTTTATGTCTTCCTGAATTGGCATTCTGATTACATGCATTGAAAAGTTAGAATCTTGGCACAGCACGAGGGTTTCCAATGAATTGGGAGCAGACAACGTAGATGGAGCTAAGCACACTATCGTTCTTTCGTTGTGTATTGTCATAGCACTAGCACTTGGTCATAGCATCTGGAGTCAACTGCTCAGTAGCAGTTCTGTGATCAAGCAAGAGTTTGCTTCTATGACACCCCTACTAGTAACTTCTATACTTCTTGATTCCGTGCAATGTGTCATATCAGGTTTGAATTCCTCATAACCTGAAGGTTGAAGCTGCATGTCTTGCAGTTGAACCATTTATCTCCCCTTCGTCTTCTTCCCTGATAAAAGATGGAGGATGGTGAAAGAATTAGTATCCGAGGCCAAAGTCTGGGCAAACCTAACTAAATCATTAGCATTCTTAACATATTCCCTAAGCACAAAGTTAATGTTAACAATCCAATCTCTACCTAAGATCAGTCAGGCTTCCTGGATGATATCCTAATAGAGGTGATTCTGTGGGAAGTACCTCATGGATCATGTTTGTAGCAACGCCACAGTCAGAATTTACATTCACTCTCCTGATTCCGAGTTTCCAGCGGTCGTTTAATCCAATGGTAATAGCATTTACCTTAGAAATGGTTGGTGGTAGAGGCTCCATCTTTGAACGGAACCCCCAAGATCCATCTACCATTATGTTGTCTAATAATTCCTCCCGCTGCACTTCCTCTCTTCTGTAGACACGAAGCGTCCGTCTCTGAGTGTAGGAGTCAGCATCTGGTTGGCAGTGGCCGCTTCTTGAGTTACCGCTTCCTCCTTGGAAAATCCTGCCGCTTGTATTTCGAGTTTCATCTTGGCAAAATTGGTAACACAAAACAAAGCAGAGTTTTGAAGATGATTGCATTCACGGCTCCAAAAGTGTACTATTTATCAGAGTTCAACAGTCAAACTGTAGTTTTGTAGTTTATTATTATCACAATCAAATCAAACAGCCAAATTGAAGTTTCGTGTCTTTGAAATATCACCATGAAGCAGGGTTTAGGTCAGATTCAGCATCTTAAATATTCTACTTCTCTTGTCCAGTCAAAAGAGTGAGATAGATCAGGTAGACATGCCATGCACCAGAATAAATGGGTAAAATATCACTTTAGGGTTATGTGTAATTTTTTATATATGAATTTTTTGGAAAGGACACGTGTGAAAAACTTTTAATGGTGGGGGGAAAAAATCCGACCGAACGGACATTAGAGAGAGGGAGAGATTGGACCACCAATGCACCTCTCTATCACAGTGCTGGCCACATGGTCTAACCAAAACTGGATGTGTCATTACTTGTAAAGCTACCTCTTGTTCCCGCTTCCTTCTCAAAATTTGGAAATCCAATCACGTATTGTATTTCACATATTATCAGATACTTTTGGATTGATAAAAAATAATATCAATATCAAAGAACATTAACATTTTACAATGATAAATAATTAAAAGATCTGGAATTTTTGTTGAGTGCATGGTTTGGTTTTTGAAATATGAAAACACCTTCAATTCATGTTGAGCGCAATCTCATGTTCAAGCGAACATCATAATAATGTCAGCCAGTTAATTCATATGTACTAAAAAAAAAAAAAAAACAACTAAGGGTGATATGAGTAATAAATATTCTCTTCATTTAAGCTAGGGGTTGAAGGTTTGAACGCCAACTCCTATATATATACCAATTTAATTAGTTGAGATCTATGAATTACTCCCAACAACTCGAGAGGGATAAGGCTTGTTTGGTTTTATTTTCTGTTTTTATATTCTTAAAACAATTATGTACAATAGTTTTTCAAAACAAGTTTTGAAAAAAAAATTAAAAAAACTATTTGAATCATTATTTTGAAAATTAGTTTGAATTGATAAAACAAATGGTGAAATAATTATATTTGAAAGTATTATATTTTCCGTCATTTCCCTAGTTTTGCATAACAAAAAGTAACAAAACATTTAAAAAATGTTCTGGGTTTTTAGTTTTACAAACTAACTTTTAATTTTTTTTTTCAGAACAAACACCATATTTTCAAATAGTTTTTTTATTTCTCAGGACAAAAAATTATTTTAAAAACCAGTTATCAGACAGGTCCATATTCCTTGTTACCAACAGAATTTGCTCCTTATACTTACCGAAAAAAATATATTAAAAAAGAAAGTGCTAATATTTTGGGAAAATATAATATGAAAATCCAGGAAACTAAAAGACATAATGCACCGGGGAAAAGTATGCAAGGAAATATCAAAAAGTCACCAGCCTAATAAATTTTATGAACCCAAAAACGATTGAATGAGAAAGGCAGGAGATGTGTTTGATTTTCAACCTCAGAAGAGTCTCTCTCAATCTCATGCACTAATTAAGTCGGGCATGACCGACATTGCATTTACAATCTCAGTAACATTTCCATAGCACTGCCTCACCATTAATGGAGAAGAATGCTATAAATATAAGCTATATATACATATAACGGAGTAATAAAATTTTGTTCAAATCCAACAACTAAAGCACTTTTGTAATTTCAGCTTAAATTTACCCCCGAAAAAAAAAATTGTTGACCAGAGAAGAGAAAGGCAAGAAAATACAGCATGAGTCAGGCTCGAATGAAGGTAAAGGAACCGATACAGACTTCACTGCGGCTGATGGCAAAAAGTGAATATACTAAAAGAGCACAGGGGAAAAGTGAACAAGGCCACAAGTCCAAGGCTGTAGAAATTTATTATAGATTAGCACTTTTTATATCATTATTTTACGTTTGAACCACTAAATAGTCTCAACAATTATTATACAAACATTGGCACATGAGCTATCTTTCCGAAAGATTAGAGAAGAAATTAATGTATCATTATTGCCTATACCGTAATAAGATTAAGGGTCTAGATGGACTCAACTCACTCAGCAATAATAGAAGTGTCATCGAATGCATGGCTAAGCGGCCGGGTGAAAGGTTGTGACGGCTTGACAATAACACTGGATCGGAATCTCAAGCATACAGCTATATACTTGTTCAAAAAGTTTCATGGTGTTATATATTTGTTCAACCTGATCTAAATTAGCCTACGCATTTGTGCTAATTATTGATTTAAGATGGTTTGACATGCATACACTTCTCCCACTTCTTTTATGCTATCTTCGATAAAAAATATAATACATTTTTAATTGAATCTTATTTTTTAATAAAATGATTACCTACTTTTAAACTAATTATATTTTTTTTCATATTTACTCTTATTACACATCTTATAATAAATATAAAGTCATTGTCAATAAATACATTTTTAAAAAAACGATAATAATTATACATTAAAAAATTAAAAATAACTTATATTTTTAAATATTTAATTTTTTAAAAAATATTTTACACTTTTAAACGAAGGAAGTATTTAAAAATAATTTACATCATGTTTCATTGAAATTAACAAAAATTTCAAAAATCGTTAGTTTTATTAAAAAATTTAATTCTGTTTATATTAAAAATATATATATATACACACATATATATATTGATAATATATTTTTTCTTATTAATATTAAATAGATAATAAAAATTTAGGATAAAAACATATCTTGTGGGCGAGAAAAAATTTTCCTTCAAAAAAACGGTAAAGGGAGCAATGAAGTGAAGGCAGTCTCACCATGCTGTTGGTATGGAACAGGGCTCTGGTCCAATCACTTCTAGGACTACATTAACTCAATTTGCCTCCACCCACTACGGTTTGGCCACGTGTGTCCACCTTAGCATCACGCGCCGTATCCTCGCAATTTACACGCTTGCTCCTGCCCCACCTTCCCTTTTCTCTCTCATCTACCCCATGCAATGGGTAATCTCTGTCCTTTCCCCTCATCATTTCCTCTTTTTATACAGCTCTCATCTTTTTCCTCCTTCCTAGGTCCTGCTTCTGCTACCTCCAGCTTTCCCATCATCATGGAGTCTCGTTTACCTCTCCCCCTTCTCCTCCTTACTCTCTCCCTCCTCTCTCTCTCCCATGCTCGTAACTTCTACGCTGGTAATCGAGATGGTTGGGTCTTGAACCCCTCCGAGAGTTACACCCAATGGTCTTCTCGCAACAGATTTCAGATCAATGACGTTCTCAGTGAGTTCTCCCACTTCATTCCCCTCTTCACTTTCTTTCTTACTCTAACTCTAACTTCACCGGGCTCACTATTAATTATGGCTTGCACTGATGTTATGTTGTTGTTGTTGCTGTTGTTAGTATTTAAGTACCAGAAGGGTTCGGACTCGGTGTTGGAGGTGAACAAGGAGGATTACGACAAGTGTAACACCAAGAACCCCATCAAAAAGTTTGAAGATGGCGATTCGCAGTTCACGTTTGATCGATCCGGACCTTTCTACTTTATCAGTGGACATGATGGGAATTGTGAGAAGGGTCAGAAGTTGACTGTTGTTGTCTTGTCTGTCCGATCATCACGGCCCGGAATGCCTCCGGCACCTCCCTCTACTCCCAAAGCTCCTTCTCCTTCTGGTGGGGGAACCCCCGTTTCACCTCCTGGCTCTCCGGTGACCACTCCTACCGTGCCCTCCCCGTCCGGTAACCCTCCGCCGTCCACCCCGTCAACTCCATCACCGGGAACTTCTCCCAAAGCTCCTGCTCCTTCTGGTGGAGGAACCCCTGTTTCACCTCCCGGCTCTCCAGTGACCACGCCTACCGTGCCTTCCCCGTCCGGTAACCCTCCGCCGTCCACCCCAGCATCTCCATCACCGGAAACTTCTCCCAAAGCTCCATCCACCTCGCCCTATCCACCATCTCAGGCACCGGGAGGCTCTATGACGACGCCATCTCCAGGGAACAGTCCTCCGGTCACTTCACAGCCACCGGCCTACGCACCTGGACACTCGACTCCGGTGGGTAATTCTCCATCCACGACACCATCTTCACCCACTATGGCGCCGGCCAATGCGCCAGGACAATCATCTCCGGTGGGTAATTCTCCATCCATGACACCGTACCCACCATCTATGGCTCCGGGAGGATCTCCGACGGGAACGTCTCCAATGGGCAGTCCTCCGATGGGTTTGGTGTCACCGGCGATGTCTCCATCAGTCTTATCTCCTGCTACTTCACCAGCATCATCGTCGCCTATGGCATCCCCGCCGGAACCCACCGAAACCACCCCATCACCGTCGTCTTCGACCGTCCCAGGATCACCATCCGGTTCACCGGCGTTGGGCCCTGCAGGAGGTTCTACAGCACCCTCAGTGTCCAACGAGGCGACACCGCAACCATCATCAGCATGGCCTGAAACTGCTCCGAAGTTGTTGGTATATGCGGTTACTATGATGGTCGGTGCTGCTCTCGGTACCATTTTTGGTGCTAATAAGAAAACATGACACTATTAAAAATATTTGAATTATTTAGCGGAGACCGGAGAGTTGTGTGTGTGAAGGATTCATTAGGAGTTAAATTCGTTTTTCCTTTTATCCATATTGTTACCTTGTTACCTACTTTTGTATTTAATTTTTCGTATGATTTTCTGATTACTTGCTGTTATTATTTGGACGCAAGAGATCTCGTCTCGTACTTTATACATCAGCATGTATGAGTTTCAGTTTTTGTGACTTTGGATCCTCTGGTTCAAAGGTTCAGTGTTTACCACTCTGCGTTATCCTTAGGTGATTCAATTTTAAAATTTGCGTTCGAATTCCTATTTTCGCGTTTTATTTTATTAATTTTTTTCTCATCTTATTTTAAAATTATTATTGTTTCACGAGCCTAATACAGGATAAATTTTTTCCGGATACATGCATGCCTCCATTTATTGATCCCACTTTTTCTCTTTCTTATCACAAATGCTCTGCTTTTGAGTTTCTCTTTATTTTTGGCCGACGCTCTGCTTTTTAGCTTCACTGCATTATTGGGTCTCTGGACTAACAAACTTGATTAAAAACAGTTGATGTTTTTATTTTTGTTCCAAATAAAATTTATTTGTATATAGATGCTTTCTCTTTCGTTCCTTGTTTTTTTTTGGGTGGCAAACTTTCAATATAACGTGCGTTTAGTTTTTAAATAGTAAGACTATGTTTACCAAACTACTTTTAAAATGAGAAAAGTAAATTATTTGTTCTTTTTAAATTAAATTTTCTTCGGTTTTAGAATTTTGTGAATGAGCCTTGAAAAATTTACTCAGAACGAGCCGGGGGTTATTTTGGGAAGCCTGTGTCAGGTCAGAGGGAAAGTTGCAGGCCGTAGTTAATAGTAAACTCTTAACAATAAATATCAGTATTGGGTCAAAAGAAAAAAACAGTAAATATCAGTAGGGAATAGGAGTAAGATATCAACGATGATGAGCATTTTTTTAAAAAAATGTATTTTATATAAAAATTGAGGCATTAAATGGGAGGTAAGCTAACCATCAAGGATGAGAAATTTTAAATTGTAAATAGACAATTTTTATATGACTATGTGATTAAATCGTATTTAAATATTGTTGAATTCAATAAAAAAATAGCTTTTTTAATTTTTTTTTATATTTTCATAAATTCAAACTCAACATTTTAAAAAACTATAATTCTTTTGATTAGGACCAACTTTTATTAATAATTGATTATTATAAATATACATTGTTTTGAGAAGGAAAACCAAGATGGGAGGGGACAAATTAAATGACAATGCGCAGGATATTATCAAATTCTTGTTGCTCGAAACTTCTGCGTCAATCTATACGTATAAGCTATAACTAGATCCATTCCGGGCAGAATATTTAAATATTTAAAAGATAAAAATAAAAAGTAATTTTTTTCTGTACTCAAAATATCATATTTTACTGATTTATATAAATTAAAATTTAAATAATAATTTATTCTATGACAAAAATTATTTTGCTCATACATGTTAAAAATTAAAAATAATTACTTATTTTATCTTGAAATGTGTTATTCCCTATACACATTTGTACTTTTCCTCTGGTTAATATGTGGTAACATTTTAACGACCATGATGTGGCTTGATGGTTCCTCACCTGATTCTTTAACCAAGTTAGGTCACCTTGGAGTCGTTAACCTAGGATATCTTCTCAATTACATGAGGACGGATCTTGTTTAGATCCAAAAATAATTGAGGTGGGATTTTGCGGGATAGAACAAGAAAAGGATTTAAGACGAGACGGGATATAAAATTATCATCAGGACGTTCCGTCCAGTTTCAAATATTATATATATATATATATATTATTTTTTATTTTAAAAATATACATTAAATATATTACTTATATTAATATAATTTATAGTTATATTAATTATATCAATTATAATTTTAATACTTACAATTCTTATATAAAACTAAAAAAATTATATTGATAATTTTAATGACATAAAGTAAATGTGGTGATATCTTTCTTTATAGCATCTTAATTATATTAATACAAATTATTCTTATATTTATCTATTTAATAACTTTTATTTACATCATATTTCTTGTTTTATTTTTAAAAGAGTAATTAACTTGACACATCTCAACTAAAGTAAAAGAACAATAATTTAATGTTGTGCTTGGCTTGCCTATTGTTGTCGCTCTTATAGCCTACAAATTACTTGTAATTGCTATTATAATGTGTAATTGTGATTAATGTGATTTAATAATTAACTTTAAATTATTGTAATATATGTATTTGTATTATTTTAATTTTAAACTTAATAAATTATATAATTTAAAATTTTAATAAATATTATTATTCAAATATTTCTCTAATATTGTCTAATTTATTAGAACGGTGGGACGTCTCAATTTTATCCCGATTCCTAATGAGATGGGATGACTTTTAAGATAGGATGGAATACAGGACTAAAATTTAATCTCGATCTTTTTTTTTTTTGAGAGGGGACATGGGACAAGAATGTCCCGATCCCATCCCGTCTTGTGAACACGATGCTCCAAGCAAAATGTGTGTGTGTGTGGTAACATTTTGAAACAAATTAAAGAATATACTTCTTACCAAACCCCCCATAATAAATCAAAGAAAAAAATTGTCCCCAAGAAACATTCCTAAATATATTATTAGTTATCCCGTGTAAATTAAAATATAAACCTACCCTTATTGAACAAGTAACTTTTTAATATATATTAGGGCATTATGTGTATTAAAAAATATAAATAGTATTTTTTTTTTAAAATCACCTCCTACAAATCAAACTATAATGAACTTATTTTCTTTCAAAATTTGTTGCCCATCATCCTAAAAAAACACACAGACACACTATAATTGATGTCATAACAGTATTTATAAATTACAATTACAACCAAAAGTAAAAATAAATAAAAAAATATGTATATATTAAATGGTAAATAGTATAGTAAATATTACAGTACTGCCTTTTGTCCTAAACCACTTTAACTATTCTCTTTGTTTTTATATATAGAGTGCTTTTTAAGAATTTATTTTGTTCTAAAATACAAGGAGTGTCATGATAATTTTAAGTGATTGAAAATTTTTTCCCTTATTGTCATGAGAAGGGGGAAGGGATATTAATTGTGGGTTTTATTCACCTTTATGATATTAATTGTGAAATTATTAGGGATACAATTGTAAAGTTATTGTGATTTTATGTGTTTTCAATTAAATACCAAACTTTTATTTATATGAGTGATTTAATTAAAAATATATTATATATAAGGATAGAGGGAGCATCTCACCGTAGTTAAGGAAACATAGTTAAATAATTGGGTTTGTTGAAAAACGAAAGAAAAAAAATCAAGTTACATTTATTAAATGCATTATACTGCCTTCATACCTAACATCACCTCTTAATAAAATAATTATTTATTTTTAAATTAATATTATCTTTTAATATTTATCTCTATTTAATAAGGTATTTTACCTTAAAATAAATATAAAATAATTTATTTAATAGGGGTATTTTTTTTTTAAAAAAAGTAATGACTACATTTTAAAAGACTAAAAATATATTACATTTTTTAACATGCAGTCCCTACATTTTTTTTTAACTTAGGGAGTATTTAAAAGATAATTTCTATTTTATATGTAACTTTTCCCTCTATTTATAAGAAAAATTAAAGAAAAAAATTGAAAAGTAATAATTAATGATTATTTTTCATGTGAAAAAACTTGTCAAATAGATCATTAATTACTTATAGAATGTAATTCATATATTATTTATCAATTATATGTATTGCATGATGAGAAAAAACAGCAATTAAATTAGGAGAAGTTTAAGAGGTACATATACAAAATAAGTTTTATTTTAAAAGTTGTCATTTATACCCCAAAGAAGTTCCCTCAATTGCCGAAGTTTGGATCAAAGATATGGAATACAAGAGAGCATGCAAGAAAATAAAATTCTATTTTATAAATTAAAATTTAAAATTTATGCATTACCTACCAGAAATTAAAATTTAAATAGCACCTTGTCTTATTTTAAATTTTTTTATCTACGCACATATTGAAAACACAAATAACATACCCTATACATATTAAAAAGTTTATATACAAAAAACTTGTTACTCTATGTAGTATGTTTATATTATAAAGAATAATTTATTATTCTAATTTCTCTTACTCACTCATAAATTATAATTTAAATAATAAAAAAATTATTTTATAAATTTCTATTTAGTTTGTATTTTATTCTATCATTCATTGTCTTATACAAGCAAAAAACACAATCAACACATGATAGGTTTTTTACCTATCATTTTTACTATAAGTCACACTTGATCCTTCAACGTTCAAGTTTTCTTAAAAGAAATAAACCAATGTTCAACCCATATAAATTTATTTTATTTTATAATATATTATGTTGTATATTTTAAAAATAATATTAAAAAAGTATTTCAGGTAGAATTTGTTATTTTAAGTGAGTTAGGATTCAAAACAATAAAAATTATCCATTAAATTGTACACATATTTTTTATAATTTAGATAAATTAAGCTTGTAATTTCATTGCAATAAAACATTATGTTTTATAATATATTATTTATATTTATATTTTATAATACAATTAATTCTTTTATACATATAAAAAAATACAATGAATGATAAGTAGATCTCCTACCTCTGCAAAAAATGTTATATCTTATACTATTTTTTATTATGAATTTCATATTTAACACGTGTCTCACCTTTTTTGTCAATTATTATTATGAATCCCATATGAACTCTTAGTTTACAAGGATTTCTTTTTTAAAAAAAAAATTATTGTTATTGTTCATCCAAATATAGATAAAAAAGTGTGCTTTACACACACAGATATTTCAAAAACATCAAACATATTCACAGAGATGTGTACCTGACATTATACGTGTATTCCAGAATATCCAACTAAACAAGTCTTATATAATTAATGAAGTCCGTTGAGGATTTTGAGATTTTAAATATATTAATTAATTTTACTAAATTTTTTATACTTATATGAAGTTGTTATAACAAGATTATAATAAGGAAAGGAGGGAGTAACATACTTATGAGAATATACTCATTAATATATATCTCATTGATTACACATACAAGCAAGCTTCATTTTTCTTCCATGTCTCTTTGTCAAAAACATAAATAAATTCTTTTCAGGATTGCCACATCCCGTATTGTTTCCATTAGAAAAGTCACCCATCATTACCATTATCAAATGAGATTTTTTAATTAATAATATTTTTAAAAATTTAATTGATAGAGTATAATTATATTTCACCTAATGAGATAAAGTATATTGTTATATTATTATCTTGGTCACCTTGAAGAATTGAAGTTGTTTTAGATGCTAGAATTCTAGTAGTAATTGACAATACTTATGGTGGTGTACTCCATCTGTGTTTCTGCACGTGATTTCCTTTCTAGAACAATTTAATAGTCTTGTATATTAATCACCTCGCAAAAAAAGATGGAGTCTTGATTGACCCCCCCTTTTTTTTTGAAGATCATCCTAGTTACAAGTTGATAGGATTTGGATAAACTTAGAAATGATTTCATTCTTAAACTATTTCTATAATTAAAATTCATCTCATGGATTATGGTTAGAGACAGTGAAGAGCGTGATGTACATCAGATATATTTGAAACCAGAAGCTAGAAGTGGTTCAAACTCGAAACAAAGAAAAGGACTAGTAGGTCCCATACTGTGCACCGTTTAAATGTGAACATCAATGTGACAATGTCATCCCAGCACTGCACCCGAACCTGGAGTCGGATTTTTTCTTTTGTAAAGAAGAACAGATAAGAGATCAGAGATCAGTACAAATTTAAACTGTTAAATTAAATTTAATATTTTTTAAAAATATAAATTTAATTTGAGCTGTTTAAATTTATTGTAAAAACACAGTAAAAAATAAAACAAAAGAGAGAAACCTGCCCCAACGAGCCTCTATCAAGACGCTTGTGGTCAAGTTATTTCCCATGTCTCACAAAAGATAACACCAATAAATAAATAAATAAATAAAATTCAGTGTGTGGTGAAATTTGCTTTCAATGTGCAAGAAAGTGAGAAACACGAGAGCATCCCTAGTTGATGTCATCTTTTTTAAAAGTTCGCTCAGTAATTCACGTTCACGCCTCTTCAATAACCATTTTACTCCTTTATTTCGCATTTCGCCTGAGGGTTACAATAGCAATATATTTTGAACTCTGCAATAATTTCAGAGGGACCAAAGATAAAAACTATATTAAAGGCCTGTCACTTAGCTATAATTAAATTGAATTTCTGGTCAATAGTAGGGGTGACCAGCGGACACATGACGAGTCATTTATGTCGACAATGACGTGCTTCCGCCTCCCATTCACGAGAGCGATGAACATCAACGTATCTATTTTCATTTAATTGCCTCTGATCGAGCCAAAACGCAGAGGCATCGTATTGGAGCCAGTTTAAACTTTAATTGAGCATAATAAATTATAAAAATAATTAATTAAGTAATAAATTTTAATCATAATTAATTATATTATAATTTAAATTTATTTAAATACTGTTTTTTAAATTAATTTTAATATAATTAAAGATATTTAAATAATTTAATTAAAATTAATTTTAACTACATAAATTATTATATAATGTAATTCTTAAATATTAAATATTAATTTTTTTAGAATATAAAGTTTAAATATTATTAAGAAAAGAAAGAGAAGGAGTGAGAGTTTGGTCTTATGTTTATTAAATTATGTATTTTTTTGGACCTTTCTTTATAATTTTTTCCAAACTTTTTGGCAAGATTTCCACCCACGCTTGGATTCTCAGCTTTGCCAAAAAAAATTAGTTTTTTTAAAAAAATTATCATTTGAATAATTTCATGCAAAATTAATTTTTTTAAAAAAATTAATTAATGAGCTATACAAACACACACTCTGCTAGTAGGAATTAATGCAACTTAAGTGAATTGTGAATTCTTGGAGTAAAAGAATAAGAAAATGTCAATTTATTTAAAAAAATATTTTTATTAGGGAGAATGATATTTAAGATCATCTTAAGAGAATCTATTATAATAAAAACTCATCAAATTTTGCATCATATATTGTCGTATAAAAACATAAATATGTTGTTAAAAATTGAATTTCAAGAACCTATTTGAATAGCTTTTCAAAATTGATACATTCATACTGCGATTAATTTTCTTGAGAAAATCTTAAATATCATTTTTATTTTATTTTATTTAAGGACCCCTCGTAGGATGCTCTGCTGATATGTATCCCTACACAGGGCAGTGGACCAATAGCAATGGTTCAAATTTTGTTATCAACTGTGCTTGATGCTTTAGGCTTTAACGCGGAAGAAAAGAAAAGATATGAACAAAAATTGAACTTTTATCTAAAAAAATTAATAAATTTTTCCACGTGTCCCTAGCTATTCAATACAGGCCAAGCCTCGTGAATAAACTAATAAAATGTGACTGTGACCCTCCGGCCTCCAGACAATCATTTCATTCCACGTGTACAATGAGTATGTAATTTCTCCATTCAAAAATATAAGATATTTTTAATTAAAATCTCATTCCAAGTTATTACTTACTTTTAAACTAATTCTATCTTTTTATATTTATTTTTATTAAATATTTTATAATAAATATAAAGTCATGATCAATAGAGGCATTTAAAAAAAAAGATAATAATTATACTTCAAAAGACTAAAAATGCCTCACATTTTTTAACATTCAACTCCTCAAAAAATATTTTATATTTTCAAACAAAAGGAGTAAGCAATACACATATTTTCACTTAAAGACTAAGCTGAGAAAATCATTGAATACAACTAATAATCAACCAATTTCAAAAATGATATTTTTCAAAAAAATGATAATAAAATTTTTTAAATTATATAAATGATAATTTAATATTTTAAAATGTCATAATTTTACTGAAATTTTTAAAAATTTTTCTATCATTAATAAATTTATATATAAAGGGCTAAATTACCTTTGTAGCAATATCAGAAATGTGACATACAAAGTTGTAATTTGTTATTATATTATTACAAATATAAAAAATAAAGTTACGATTATTTAACCAAAATTTATGATCATTACTTATTATTTTTAATACTTGTAGTAATATAAAAATTTGACATACGAAATTATGATTTGCTATTGCATTGTTACGAATATAAGAAAAAAGTTGTGACTATTTAAATAAAAATTTTGATCATTACTTCTCATTTCTAACACTTGTAGTAATATCATGAATTTAACATGTAAAGTTGTGATTTGTTATTATATTATTGTGAATATAAAAAAATTATAATTATTTAAATAAAATTTGTGATCATTTTATTTTCAACAAAGCCAATTTGATCATTTATATAAATTCATTAATAACAAAAAAACTTTAGAGATTTCAATAAAATTATAACATTTTAAATGACCAAATTGTTATTTAAATAATTTAAAAAAATTTTATTATCATTTTTTTTTCTACTTACCATTGACAAATTAGAAATACTTTCATTTAGTGCGTGATTGTATTTTAAATATGATTGCTTTCAATAAAAATTATTGATAAATAACTAAAAAAATAAATTTTTTAATCAAATTATCACTTTTATTTACTTTTTGATTTTTTCCTTTGAAAAAAAGCACTCATTTCTTCTAGGTCCAAATTTTCCACGATTATACGGTAAAAATATAATATCATGTTGTTTTTTTCTTAATATTGGCACATCTTTTTTAGAAGTGAGACTGGAGATGATAAAATTGGGAAGTGTCTGATATAATAAAGGAAAGATGAGAGAAGACCGCGTCCACACATAGCTATCAATGGACGTGGGACTCATGAACAATCGACCACCAGATTACTACTTGCATCAATATAATGATAAATAGGTTTTAAAATAATTTAAAGAACTTAAGTTACAGTTATTTATTCGAGTAATTATAAATATGACAATTTTAGTTGCACGATAAATCACCATTTTTTATTATGGATATTCTTTTTGAAAAAAAAATCAGAGTAAAATGTGTTCGTTTGTGAATATAAAATTAAAGTGATGATCAATTTAAAATAAACTAAATTTATATAAGCAATCCTCCCTGCTGAAATCATAAAAGAGAACTAAAAAGATATTGAATGTTCAAACAGTACAAACTTAAAAGTGAAATTATACTTATTTAATGGTTTATAAAAATAAATACTATAATTTATACATTTGGTCCTGACTAATCATTTTTGCAAATGAGAATCCTGAGCAGTGGCGACGGCACGACCTTCAGGGGTCGTGCTTTCGGAACAGTTCATGATATGATTGGCGTGACGTCGTTTTCAGTGACTGAAAATAAGTGAGGACGCATTAAATAACTTCATTGTCGGCAGAGGCTCAACGTTTGGACATTTGGAGGCCTCATCTCATCCGACAACTAACATCAACACAACGTTTTTCCACCTCAAAACAACACTCTCATCTTCAAGTTATCACCTTTCACTCATCAATCTCTCTGACCTCTCATTAACGTCACTGCTCATCTTGCCCCACCAACCATGTCAAAAATTTATGTTTTTCACAGCATACACAAAAATCTAAAAGCATTTGCAGATGATTTCTCTTCGACTTGTGTTCAAGTTGCTATTCTTAGATTAGATCCTTAGCACGTTAACAGGGGTAATTTATTGCGAGCTACAGAAGCAGAACCGGAAAACACAGCGTTGGGTTAAAAAATAACCAAATGGTTGATCATGTGAAATTTCACTAGGAAAAAAGAAAAAAAAAAATACGTGTAGGTTTGGAAGCATGGTGGTTCATGATACTCATTCATACTTTCCAGAAATCTGGTTTCCCTCTACTCAGAAATTCTAACATTTCTTCTGCTACACCTCAAAACAACATATAACAATCCATGACTTTAAAAGGCAGTGTATCAAGACTTACACCCACGAAAATCGACTAAATCCTCAGGTGGGGAGGATTTCAATTTTGAATGGACAAACAGGATATGGAAAGCAACGAACACATTTGTCAAAAGAACCACCAGCTTCGCCGCCGCCGCCTCTGCAACAATAATATGCACATTACAAAAATCATCATTCGAGGCAGATTGCAGAGAAGTCAGAACATGGCCTTCTTCAGGATAAAGAAAGTAGTATTAGGCATATTAGAACATTAATTATCAAAGGCGTAATCTTGATTTTTACACAAGCATCTCGGAGATCCTAGTTACATGAACATGTCAAGTGTACGTAGGCCGTTGTCAACAGATTTTTCAAGCAATTTCATATGCCCATTAACTAAAATTTAGAGGCCTCATGCTCCTATTCAAAGACAGCCTATTTATAAACTTGAGTCTTCTCAGAAGTTTTAGCAACTTGTCAATGCACACCTATAGTGCATGAGTAGACGTGAACCATATAAATACACTAAAACTAATATGACTTTGTCCACAATACTTCTTTTTTTCAAAAAGCAAGAATTTAGAGAGAAGGGTAAACTAAAAAAAAGTTGTGTCAGGAAGAGGGGTAATAAAAGAGACAGAAGGGGAGGGGGAGATTGGTGATACCTTCTTGTCCTCAGTTTGTTGCTGCAACAATATAGGCTGGGAAAGAACTGCGTCGCCCATATTTTGAATGTATGGCTGCACCTTTTCCTCCAACATCTCGTTCACCTGAACCTCGAATCAAGCATCAGTAACAAGCACCAAAGATGTGTTTGCATGGAGGTATAATAATAGTACGCAAAGAAGAAATATTTTACAATTTAAAGAATTCACAATATACAAAGACTCTAATTATTTCCAAAAGTAACATTTGCCCCGGTTAAAAATTCTTGAGGTGGTGCAAGTGCATAGAACTCCATAAACCACAGACAAACTAAGTAGTTGGTACTGTCAAATTAGAAGCAAGCAACTCAAGGACACAATCATGAATTGTAAGCCACAAACAGCAGACACAAAGAGGAATGCTCCCATGCAAGGAAGATAAAAGCATGCTGTTGGATATTCACAAACACAAACAGGATGAATGAGGCAAAGATCACCAACCTTATCTTGTCGCCACTTAGTCTCCCATTGTGCATCCAGGATTTTATCAGCAATTTCTCTTTGTGCATTAAGGAGGACAGTCATTTCATAGAACTTCTGAGGATCTTTGAGATCCTCCTCGCTCCAAGAGGATGCATTCAACGGAAGGTCCAGATCCTGCCAAAGCTCTGCTATTAGTTACATTTTACTCCTGAGCAGATAATGTCTACACTTGTCTTCTTGTTCCAATATATAATACAAATACAAGTCAATTAAATGAAATGAAAAGTGAGCATCCCAGAGAGAATGATTGATGAATACTGCTGAGCTTGAGCTTAAAGACGAAAGAATTCTGGAATGTGAAAATCTTGCTGGTTTATCCTATGCATGAGGATGTCCGACAAATGTGCTCTAATTCAATTTTTAAAATAAAATTTATAACAAGTCATACTATCTACAAGCCATAAACTGTGGACATTACTTCTTAAATTCCATGCAATGCACAGGCACTTGTGTTTAATTGCATTGCCATTTATACTATGTTTTCCAACTATTGCTATGTCAGCTGTTTCAATTAACATACTACGATGAATTTTTAGGCCATTACTACCTTTACAGCTTGTATCTAGTTTTCAGATATCTTGTTACGTCATATGACTCTTTTTGGCCAACCAGCATATAACTTAATCATAAATATGTGTGTAATAAAAAAAAAAAATCAAACTAGCACATTGACATGAAGACAGTGGATACGCACACCCCAATTTTGTGGTCTTGGTGGAGGATCAAGCTTCATAACCTCTGCTTCTAGAGCCCTCTTAGCCTTATAGCAGGGGACATTCTTCACTATAACAGGATCATCCCTTGCACGCTCAGGATCTATAGATTTCAAGGCCTGAAATTACAATATGATTTTGAATTAAAAAAGCGCTCTGCTAAATTTGATTCGTAGGAAGACAGATAACTATGAATTAGGGGCCTGCAAAAATATCGATATGCCATAACTTTAACTATTTCAAAAGATAGGATAGAAATCTTCCTGTGAAAGGAGAAAAGCCATCATCTGAATTATAAAGAAAGTACCAAAAATAAACAGTTTCACATTTATATTTACAAGCAAAAAGGAAAAAAATTAAATGCCAGTTTCATATGTATACACATTACACTGCTCATGTTTCCACTTGGTATGATGAAATGCCTTCCAAATTAACTTGCCTTGCTGCTGAAAGTTCTACGTGACATTGCTATTTGATGTTTATTTCAGAAGCTATATATCAGATATATCATATATAACCTATCATGATAGCTGTTCTTTCCTGAATAGAAACTCCACAATACAAACAGTCAAATCCATATATTCTTTCATTATGTCCATGTATATTAGAAAGTAGAATCAGAAACTTACTTCCTGCAGATATTCCCACCCTGGTTTCCGTTTGGCCACTACATCTCTGAGTTGATCATACCGCATGGATTCCTAAGTCCACCCACAGAAGGTAGACAATTGTATTGAGAATGGTAAATAGAAATCTAAATTTGAAAAAATCCCACAAAAGCAATAGACGCAATATCAACTATTGCAAAGCTTCATCACATAATTGCTGCCATCAGCATACAGGACTGTCAGTCAGAGACTACAACAGGGTGCATTCAGTCTCATGCATGCATCACTTGTACTAAACAAAAAGAAAGAGAAAACTGCAGAATACCGGAAAAACTAATTTCCAAGCCAATAGCATGAAAGAAACCACAATTAGTGGTACTAGCATTTTACCAAATCAGTCATGTTCCGTCTTCACCAGCAGTACCTCTCAAATTCACACGTTAGGTGAGATCAAATACATATGGCCTTTCATTTGAGTCTAACCAAAACTAATCTGTGAAGAGCAGTGTGTGACGAAGATAGAATTTTCATGAGGTTAAGATATTCTAGTGGCTGCATCATTGAACTCCAAGAGTGCCTTGGCGGGAGAGGTGAAAAAACCATGACACAATCCATCTAGGGTTGCTTCGTAGAAAAGAAAAACTAAAGCATTAGAAAGTATTCCCATCCTATTGCTTGATTGAGTGAAATTAGAGGGGAATTTTAATATAGTGCCCATTGATCACGTTTCTAAGAGAAATATAGGGGTAAATATATATAAAAAGAATGGATCTAAAAAATTGCTGTGTGCGCAATGACATATCCTTTGTCATTCCTTCCTTTGCTATTCCTTCCTTTGCATATTCTCTTACAAGTGTCCGCTTGTCACTCACACATTTTGGCTCCTCATTTTCAATTTTTTCATTTTGATTTTCATCTCATCACTACCATAGACACCATCAGAAAGAGATGCTACCTTGATCATGAGACCCTATTGGCCAAAAAGCTTCACAAAATCTGTGCCTTGATGCTACTCAAATTAAAGCACATTATCTAGTGTGCACACTAGCACATACTGTCACACCCTTAAGGTTGCTGAGGATTGATAAGAGATCATAAGAAATAAGGATATGCAAATGGCAAAAGAAAAGCCGTGTGAAAAGAACCAAGTAGGATATAAGTGAATAGATGGATAATTCAACTCAAACTAAAACAGTGCGATGGAAATGAACCAACAACCTTGTACTGCCACCAGATTTTCTGCTTCACCTCATCATCGTAGTTAAATCCACCCATAATCTGAGGAAAGGTAATAAGCCAAAATGCAGCAATACTGGGATCTTTCATACTGTGTACAATGTGCTGAAAAACCCAAAAAGATTGACATTACAAATTTCATATACGAATGAGAAGCCTCAAGATTCATGTAGACAGAAGTGCGTATGTTTTGCAATTTCCTCATGTAACAAATTGTTGTGTTTTATCTTGTGATACACCCAATCTGCCCTTCACGAGTGAGTAGGTAAACCACTTCCAATAAATAAGAGGACAAATATAAAACGGCAAAAGTAGTAGGGAAAATATAATTAAACGGCTCATGTAGCCAACCATAGCTATGCATATTACACAATATGTTCTTAATAATAACATTGCATTACGTCAAAGGTAGAAATTGGATGAATTATAATACTAACCTCATAGGGATATTCCATCCTTTTCAACACATTATAGGCTGTCCACGGAGGCTCCATGATCTACACAAAGAAAGGCAGTGTAGAAACATTGAGAACACAAAAATTAACAATAGCGTAGAACAAACTATCCTAGCAGCTTTAAATCAATGAAATAACTCACATCATCCGCAGAAATCCTAACTTGCAATTTGTGTTTGCATTCTGGACAGCTCATTACCCCCTGTATCAGCAAATTTGACACTTGAAAATTGAAGGATTAAATTGTAAATGTTTAAGCTGTCTAAGGAAGCATGCCTGTGTCAACACATCAATCTAAGAGTAGATTTTCCAATGTAGTTATAACTTAATAAACTGTCAATCAATCATTCATTCACTCTCTCTCTAATGAGGACATGGGGTAAAGAGAATAATTTTTCTTACAAGAAATAGCCTAATCACAAGAAAGAACCTCAGTTTACTTATGAAATACTACACATTCAATCAGATATGAATGAGCGTACCAATTACGCCCATGGCCAAAAGATGGTTGCCTGGAAACACGGTTCTTACCGTTCCATCACATGAGGGACAGTCTTTTGATGGTAAAGGCGTCTTGAAACCAAAGGAGGATGGCAGATGCACTAACTCAGCCCGATTATCAGCAATGGCATCTGCTACAGATTCAGCAGTTGGTTTCTCTCCACTAGTTAAGAACACATGGGAGAAGGGCAATAGGTAAAGGGCCATGCAAAATCATGTCAGGTCTAAGAGTTCAAACAGTACTGAAGTCAATGACAACGTAAATATTGATCACATGATCAGAGAACAATCTAAACCCTCAAGCTAACTGCCATTCTCTAAGATGAAGGTAACTAAAATGGCAGAGAATCAATGAAAAGATGAAGAAACAATATTAGATTTACCCCAGGTTGAACCAAATTCAATAATGGATTTCTCCAAATTACTATAATTCAATTACTTTTCTTATAGATGCTATATCTTTACTCTTATTCTATTCTAGTTGCAGTTGTGTGTATCCACATGATTCTTATTACCCTTTTCAATTTTATAAACTATTAGCTAAAACATGAAATTAAAATATGCTTGCTACCTCAGGTGGTAAGGGTGGAGGGGGATGGGGTGTGGGTATAGGTCAAGGGAAGGAAAATGTTACAGCAATTTTATCTGAAAAATGGATGATTACTTTGCATTTAAAAATTATGGACATATTAGACACTGGTTTCGGTGGAATATACTCCTTGTGCCTCACCCCAAAGAAAAATAAAATAAAATAAAATCTGTGGGCATATTAATTTAACGTAACTTTGATGGATATAACCAGATATAACCAACCTTCTACTAGACGAAATTTAGTGAATAACATCTTGCTCAGCAGGTATCCCAAAATAATTATTCAGAAAAACTCATTAATGTAAAATTAAAGCATGAATTAACACTGATGTCACGTGCAACCTCTCCAAATGGATATAGGGAGGGGATTTACCTCTTTGATTTGTAATTTTTCACTTGATAGTGCACCATTCCAGTTCCTTGGCACATCGTACACCGCAAGGCCTGCCATCCGTTGCACGTTCGACAATTCCTGCCATCAAATGTTGTTACAAATTAACCAACCATGACGTCAATACACAAGTTATTCCATGGACAGTGCTCCAGCATCACGGACAATTTAGAGAAAAATTATACGCATTATGCAGTCAGAAAATTCTGAAGTAGAATAAAATGAAGAAATGGGAAAACCGCTGAGGGATACCAAGACGCACCTTTGGCATATCACCTTTCTGCCCATCTCTAATGCAATGTCATAAGTCCCCAAGGTTGCAATAGCCTACAACCAAACCATACAGCCAATATTCGTTCATTCATTTTGTTTTTTTAAAAAACCAAGGCAAATAACTAATAAAGGAGCTGCTTCAAATGATGCAATACCCACGAATAACAAAGTGAAATAACCCAACTGACCACAATACAAGTTAAAAAAATGATTCCCCACATATAATACATAGCAATTGAATCTTTATCAACATTTTCTCAAATACTCATAAGATGATAAGAAAGGAATTTGCAGGTGAAGATATATGGACAAGTCAAACTACATATAAAGATAAACGACCCCGAGTCAAAATGTACTGATTCTGAAGAATTTGCGAAAGCTAGTGAATTTCAGAAAATCTTGAAGATTGAAGACGATCCATGAATAGTGATGACGAGAGCAATAAAGGTTGCAGGAATTTAACAGAATAGCAGTGCTCTTAGCTGAAATAAACTAAATGCAGAGAAAGAGCTTACGAAGACCGAAGCATATGAAAGCTTGGAGATAAGCTCGGGAACGCCGAAGCCGCGAGGAGCAGAGCCAGCAATGTCGAAAGCCAGAGTGAAAGGAGACAAAACGAGCTTAATTGGGAACTCAAAAATGTCAATGAGCTGTTGCCCATAACGATCCGAAAAAACCTTATACCGAACCCCGACGAACTGTTTCACACTCTTCACTAGACGGTCTGTCCCTCTTGACATGGCTGTCGAATCGCTTGAGCCGGAGTGTGCACTACAAAGAGAGGATAAAGCTATCAGGCATCCTTGCAGCGGTTAAACTGTCTGAAGTTTCGAACTTTACCCCCGAACAAGAATAGTGTTGGTTTTCAGGATTAATATACTTCAATGCCCAAACAGGCATCTTGATCTCAATGGGGCCTCGAAGTTCCGCCGATATTGGCCTGATTGAACCCTGCTTAATTAGTACAAAATGGAACTGCATTGTAAAATATAGTCCGTGGGCCGTAAAAAATGAGGCTATGTATAACATAAGTACGTCCTCTTGAATATATCTGCCCAGGTTGGCCCAAACAAATATACATATATATCTGCCTAAAATAAGAACTAATGATGCTGGACTTAAAAAAAAAAAATGCTAGTTCCTCACAAAAAGATAAACCAGTGTTTAAATTTTTGTTGGATAAAGTACTTATATTTATTTTTCAACTGTGTCTCAAATAAGATATTCTGCAATAGAAAAATATCTATGAACAATAAAAATAAATAAGACTGGTTCTAACTCAAAGCTACATATTCTAAATTTGGGTTTGAGATAATTAAGAATTACTTATTTGAAATAAATAATTCCATCTAAAATTGTAGGTGATATTTTTTATTTTGGAAAAAGAGGTTATCCTTAGCTTATTTCTCAAATACATAATTTGTATATAAATTGTCTTAGTCTAGCCAACAAATGATACCAATTTAGTCAGAAATCGTACATAAGGTGTGAGTAATCCACTGTCTGAGGATGAATGGACAATTAAAGAGGGTTGCTAGGGAGTTTCCTCTTCCGCTTTCCTAAATTAATTATAAGTACGCTTATCAAACTCCATGCCTCCACGGGTTGTTTTAAATCATATATTTAAAACTAACTTAATATATCTAAGAGTTAAGTTTACATCTCTAAAAATAATTTGATCCTTAATTTATTAATCATATTTCACTATTCCTGAATACTTTTTTATTTTTATTTAATTTTTTGTCACATAAAATTAAAAATATGTCAATTTAATTATAATCAGTTGGATTAGGGTTGAATAAATCATCAACCCAGTTTTTAAAATTTTATTCAAGTGCCCATTGAAGCAGTGAAGTGGTTTGCGCCAATTTTCACAGAATTTTTATTTTAACCAATGAGGTTTTCAGGGTTGTGAAAGGCATACTTCCCCTAGTCCTATTTATATAATAGATAAAGAAGATTTTTTTTTGAATCTTATTTATAAGTTATCTCATTAAATTTTTATTGTAAAATTTTTCATTTGATTTTAATTGAATATTGGAGAAAGCAAATGCATTGTTAAAATATATATATATATATATATATTTAATAAGAATAAAATTAAAAAATTATTAGATTTTTAAAATTTTAAGATTTTTTTAATTAAGATGAAATATGTTAAAATTATCTTATAAATAAGATCAAAGTAATAGTACGTCGTAGAAGCTAACATTTATCAGGGCAGGTTCAAGTCAAGCTTCTGAAAACAGGGGCTAATGAACCTGCCCATCATTTGACCCCGCACCATCCACCAGGAATGAATCACGCCACAGCCCCAAGCATAAGTTCCTCGTGCTTTAAAAAAGAATTAAAAAAAACCCTTCATTTCCATGGCTGCCTTAATTAGATGTTTTGAATTTCTGTTCTAAGGTCAAGACATATCAATGTTGATGGTAGAATGTCCACTCAAAATGGTCTCGGTCCAAAGTAGCTCAGACCCTGCTAAAATCTCATAAGCTCATATGTAAAATAGGCTCAAGATATTGGTGTTATATGGAAAAAAAAACATTTTCTATTAATAAAAGTAATACTCATGTAACCATGTCTCAAATTACACTTATGAGAAGATTTAATGTATTAAAATAAAAACAAAAATAAAATTTCATTAATAATATCTTTCTTATTATATATTTTTGCTTTGATATCCTTTCAGAAATAAAATATTAAATGAATGATATTTTTAAAAGTTTTGTTTAATTAAAGATATTTTTAAAAGTTTATAGAAAAAATGATAATAAAATCTCTCTAAAATATATAAATGATAATTTGGTCTTTCGAAATGTCATAATTCTCCTAAAGTCTTTATGAATTTTTTTTATCATTAATAAATTTATATAAATTATCAAATTTTTTTCATTAAAAATAAATGATTTATAACTTTTCTTCTTATATTCGCAACAATGTAACATGAAATGCGAAATTTAACATATGAAGTTGTGATTTGCTATTGTATTATTACGAATACAAGAAGAAAATTTATGAATCATTTATTTTTAATGATAGTAATTTAATAATTTATATAAATTTATTAATGACAACAAAGCCCTAAAGATTTCAGGAAAATTATAACATCTCGAGAAACTAAATTATTATTTATATATTTTAAAGAGAATTTATTATCATTTTTTTGAGTTTATATTATTATTTTTTAAAAAAAAAATATAAAATGTGTAATAAATTTTATTGATATATGTGATTTTATATAACCTCAGATGGCTGCGTTTTTATTTACTTGGCAAGCTAACATTCATTTATTTTTTTGTTTGAGCAGCAACATTTATTTATTCTTATTTTAAGGGAAAATCATATACTTAATTATAATTGGCGCTATCTTCTGGGGCGAAAAGTAAATCCCACATTAATTCCCGAAAAAACAAACCCAATCGATATGCATCTTAATGCCAGAAAACAAGAACCTCGTTAAATCCGAAGTTTTATTGCCAGGTCATTATTAAATGTGTGTAGTAATTAATGGAATGGAATAATTACACTGATATTTATTCCAACGCACCTGTTGTTCTCGCCGATAGCCTCCATATCAAGCTCAGTTCTGCAAAGGTTCTGCCCTCTCCGAGGATTCGCCGTGTCTCTCTACTCTATTGAATCCATGGCAGCCAAGGGAGAAGCTCCTGCAATGGCTGTGAACGGAGACAAGGCAGAGACGACGTCGCAGGCATACCTGGAAAGCGAGGCTGCGAAGGAGACCAGAGCTTTGATTTCTGAACTCTGTCGCCACTTCTACAATCTTGGATGGGTCTCTGGTACTGGCGGTAGCATCACTATTAAGGTCCACGATGACTCTATTCCTAAATCTCAGCAGCTCATCATCATGTCCCCTTCAGGTATTTAATCAATCCCTTGATTTTCTTCTGGCTCTGGTCATTTCTGTTATGCAGAATTTGTGATTGATGATGTATGTATGATGGTATATTCTGTACTCTGGGTATGCGTATACCAGCTCAAGTTTGAAGCTTCTGATGATCCTTGTCATTTTTTGAGTGGTTGGTTTCTGGATTTAGAAAATTCATGGTTGATGATCCAGAACATGGGTCAGCCTACTTTGATGTTTTTATCAGTTTTTATTGTATCACTATGCTCGATACTGGTACATGCATTTCAGGTTGGAGTTCAATCTCAGTGAATTGTTCAGCATAGTTGTTAATAATGAAGATAGTTTACTGTGCAAATGGTGTCCAAATTCTAGACATTTATCGTAGCTTTATTTATTTTTCTTTTCTTTTCTGAAACATATGTGCAGGTGTCCAGAAGGAAAGAATGGAACCAGAGGATATGTATGTGATGTCCCACGATGGTTCGATCTTGTCTGCACCTTCTCCTAAACCGTACCCTCATAAACCTCCGAAATGTTCTGATTGCGGTCCACTCTTCATGAAGGTAAAACTAATTTTCTTTCTGTTAATTCACTACTCTAATCTCTGATAGAGGCGGAGTTAGCATGCTTTCAAGATTTTGAATGAAGTCACCAGAGCTTTGGGATAGCAATCAATGATATTAGACTTATTGCTAAATTAGCTGTGGTTTATATTTTCCTGTAGGCATATCAAATGCGTGATGCTGGGGCTGTTATTCATAGTCATGGGATAGAATCTTGTCTTGTAACAATGATCAATCCTCTATCAAAAGAATTTCGAGTAAGTACAGTCTTGAGATTAAAGAAGTGTGTTCAATATTATGATTTGTATATTTGTAATTTTTAGATCTCTAACTGATGTCTGTGGCCAACTTTAATAAAAAGGGTTGGAGGGGGGTGATTGAGACTGGCAACTGGATATAAGATAATTTGTGACTTTGTGATCAAGTAGAGACTAGAGACCGTACATAAGTGCAAGTATGATAATTTGCAGAGTGCTAGATGCCTATCAATGTTTTTTTATGACATCAGATTTGAGCCCTTACTTAAAGGATCTGGGACTTGTATGGGACATCATGGTTACATTTTGTCTCAGTGCTTGATGTGAGCCTCTGTTGAAACTTATAATTTGACTTGCTTTTTATGAGAAAATTCAAAGAAAACCTTAAAAATCTGGGATTTCTGAAGTGATGGTAAACAAGAAAAAGCAATTGTTACACGTCGCATTGTATCTAAATGTTATGATTGTATATGGCTTCCTACCCAGCTTGTTATGTACAACTGCATTAAATAAATTATGTTGTCTACATAAAGTGAAGTGGAAAAACTTCTATCTTGAAGCTCTTTCCCTTGCTTTTATTTTTTTCATTCTACTATGATATCATATAGGCCTGCTTGTTTCCATAAATTGCAGATCACCCACATGGAAATGATAAAAGGAATCAAAGGGCATGGTTATTATGATGAGCTAGTGATCCCGATTATAGAGAACACAGCCTATGAATATGAGCTTACAGAATCTCTTGCTAAAGCTGTATGTTTCTAGTTTTCTTATGAAACTTGATTTGGTTTCTTGATTGTACAGTACTTTTATTGTATTTGATATAGCTTATTTAACTAATCTAAACTTCCAATTTCCAGATTGAAGCCTACCCAAAAACTACAGCTGTACTTGTTCGCAACCATGGGATATATGTTTGGGGAGACTCGTGGATCAATGCTAAAACTCAGGTTTGCATTTTTCCACAATTAACATTGAAAGAAACCAAAATTGTTTATTAGTATTACAATGTTTATCTGAACTTTCTGCTCAGAAGTTCCTGAAGAAATGATACTCTCCTGAAGGCAATGGCTAACTTCATATGTCATTTGAGTTGTTTATTTATCAAGCTTTGTGATAAATCGATAATTTTTCTTCTAGGCTGAGTGTTATCATTACCTCTTTGATGCTGCTCTCAAACTTCACCAGATGGGATTGGACTGGTCTACTGCAGATCATGGTCCAATCCAAAGTGTTAGAAGTGGTCAAAGGATTTATTCAGAGTCAGATGTGTCGGTTAAGGCAAGGAAAGCTAATGGGGAAATTAATCGGCTCCCTGTGAGTTCTCATAATCCTAAATCCTCCCCTCCATTTAAATCTTAAGACCTAAAAACTTAGGTCATCATTAGTATTATTTCCTTAAATTACTGAACCAAAATCCTTATCCGCTGCTGACTGGTAGTGCTAATGGACAATTCCTACAATATTTACATATAGTGTGCCCTATAGCTGGAAACTAGATTGTTCATTATTCATCCATCTGGATTGCAGCGTTGCATTGTTCTAGACATTGAAGGTACTACTACTCCCATATCATTTGTTTCAGAGGTTCTCTTCCCTTATGCACGTGACAATGTTAGGAGGCATCTATCTACTACATATGATGCCCCTGAGACTCAAGATGATATTAAGTTACTTCGATCCCAGGTAAGATTTACAGATCTCTAATGATATAATATTCTAATTCTTGTGATGGGAACATGTGGGTAGGCATTGAACTATAATGCAATTTGGGGAGTGTTATGCTTTAATTGGAGGAACTGAACTAGATTGTGGGAAGGATCAGCCAAAAAGTAAACTTAAATGTGTAAAGGGAAAGTGTGAAGCCAGGGACCAGCCCACCTTCCCTGACTCTAATTGAGTCTCAAACAAGAGGGTGATGATTTTTTTTTTTTTTTAACTGAGAACCAGAGAATTGTGTGTGTGTGTGTGTGTGTGTGTGTTATACTCAGAAAATTTAGAACATTGACTTCCTTTTATTATGATTTCAGGTTCAAAGTGACCTGGAACAACGGGTTGCAGGTGCTGTGCCTATCCCACCTGATAATGCTGGGAAGGAGGAGGTAATTGATGCTTTGGTCGCAAATGTAGAAGCTATGATTAAAGCTGATAGAAAGATCACTGCCTTGAAAGAGTTGCAGGTATCATATTAAATTCAGCTGACTTCTGTTGATTCACATGGGCAATATAGCTGACATTTAGCCATGCAGGGTCATATATGGCAAACTGGTTACGAGAATAATGAATTGAAGGGAATAGTTTTCGATGATGTACCAAAAGCATTGGAAAAGTGGCATGACTTGGGCATAAAGGTTACATGAACTGATTCTCGTGGCTGTAACCTTTTCTGTTTAACTTAATTTTCAATCGTCCATTGCTGATACTTTAGTTGCTATTTCTGATGAACACAACAGGTATACATATATTCTAGTGGTAGCAGGTTGGCACAAAGGCTTATATTTGGAAACAGTAACTTTGGGGACCTAAGAAAATATTTATCTGGATTTTTTGACACCACAGTGGGGTAATGTTCATCTTCTTTTTGACTCTGGACAATTCTTGTCTAAAGTTATCTCATTTCATGCTAAAGTCTTTTCCCCACCTCAGGAACAAAAAAGAGGAACGCAGTTACACTGAAATATCTGCATCTCTTGGTGTTGATAAACCATCAGATATTTTGTTTGTGACTGATGTTTATCAAGAAGCTACAGCTGCAAAGGCAGCAGGTATGTGCTCTACTTTCAAGCTTATATAATATCTGGTTTATTCCGTAAGCCATTGCTCTTTTTGCCCCCTCGTAGGCGCCTCAAGAAGCCAAAATGCAGGCGTATCAATGTTCTGCATTAGTTGAATTCTTTAGTTAAAGCATCCAAATGTAATGTCCCATAAAAACCAGACTACAAGTGAATGGAAAAGTGGGCCACTGGTTCCTAATACCTGCTAATCCTTGTTTATGCTGTTTTAACGTTCTGCATGAATTAAAATGGTTTCAGAAGTGTCTATAAATGTCCAATGGATATCAAACTTTGATCGGGAAAGAGATCCATATTATAAAAGTGAAATACATCTGTTCATGTCCCCATAGAAACAGCGGACTAGAAAGTATTTCCCATTCAACATATAATAGGAAGTTGATCTTCACTCGTCCTCAAATTGATTCTCTTACAATCGTCCATATGTCAGGTTTGGAGGTGATAATTTCCATTCGACCTGGAAATGGATCTCTTCCTGAAAATCATGGGTTCAAGACTGTCAAGTCCTTCTTGGAGATCTGAGAGGAATCGCAGTGATTCATAATATGTTGTGCAGCATGATGGATGTGACTATTGTAGTTGACATTTTTAAATGAAATGTTAGCATGAAATATTTTCCAGAATGGATGGCTTTCGTGGTTAACCTCGTCTTTATGATACTGTATAATCAAGTTGTCTACAAAATAAATAATCATCAGTTTCACAATTCTTTCATGCCTCTTCATAGGGCAGGATTTTCTTGTTGCTCAGGAAAAAAAAAAAATTCAATAAATTTCTCACACTTCATATGAGTGCTGCTTAACACTAAAATGTGTGTATCAATTGTGATGAGTTTTTATTGTATCTTTGCTTGAGGAGCACTTGTAATTTTCATGAGGGTCCAAAATTTGCGTGCGAGTGAATGTTTAAACTCTATGCAAATCGTTAGGCCAACATTCTGACTTCTGTCATGAGAATTGGTGAGATCAACTTTAGTGCATATGACTTCTTTTTTTGGGAACCTGAAATAATGAATAATGCCTGTTAGAGTCTATTTCATCAAGACATGGTGTTTGCTGCAATTAAAGAAACTTAGGATTCATATATGTTTAATGGAAAGTGTCAATTATAGAGCCTCTAAAGAAGTTTGACAGTTAAAGATCACAAATTTTTTAAATTTTATAAAATGACTATAATCCTTGATTGAAATTAAAAAAAAAAAAATTGTGGGTGAACAAGACGTCCTTCACCAGCCAACCAATCAATGGAGGTCCAATAACGCAATATCTTGTATAGCTAAAGTATACCTTTAGCCTTTTAATTTTATATTTTATTTTAATATCTTAATTTTATAAAATATCTTTTTAATTTTTTTAATTTCAACACTTTTTTTTAACAAAAAATTCTTACACTAAACTTTTAAATATTAATAAAATATCTTAAATGTTGACAAATTAAATTTAATTTTTTTAAAATAACAATGATTAGCATAAAAAATACTCATTCAAAACTAAGGGTATTAGAATTAAAGAATTGAAAGATATTTTACAAAATTAAAAGATTAAATTAAAACTTTATATAAAGACACAGAATTAAAAATATACCTTAACCATAATTCATTTTACACATTTCTATTTTTCTAACACTTGCAGATGAGTGGTTTCAAGGTTCACTCAGCGTGACGTCTCTCCAGGATGTTTGATATTTTAATCCTTGGTCTTGCTTGATTAATTGGTTGAGTAAAAGATCTGGCCAAAGTTGAGTAAAAGATAAGGTCCTTGCAGGTAGAGATATTTTCTAACTTCAACTTTTTTTTAATAAAAAATAATCGTACTTATAAACTTTCTCGCCCATATTCATACAGAGTTAACATGGTCTCTTTACAAACAACCTAATTAACAGATATCTTCGTCATTAAAAAAAAATGAAAAAAGTGAAGAGAGAAACGTGTACTAAGTGAGGTCCAAGTTGCAGAAAAACTGGGAGAAAGAAAAGAAACATTGCCCGTTTTTGTTCAATGCATCAACAATTGGATCCAACCTAAACCAATTTGTAACCTAAATGACAAAACAAAGTCCAACTGGGGCACACGATAAAGCAAAAGCAAAGTCTTCACATTTTCTCTGCTTTTTCTATGACGCTTTGCTTTCCTTTTATCTTATTATTATTTTTTATTTTTATCTTAACTTTCTCTAATCAAGTAATCATCATCATTCCAACCAAAAGTCCCACTCTCTCTTTTTCTTCATCTTTAGCCTTTCGCCTCTTGTCATTTTGTCAATCTTGCTTGACTCCGTGCTTCTCCTTACAATCTCTAGACACCCAAAAACTACAAAAAAGTATAAGAAGGAAAATTGGCTGCTTTAGCTTATATAGTTTGAATCAAACTTCAAAAACATTCATAATTGCCTTTGGGACCTTAATGTTACAAATTCAGCAACAAGTATGATTCCCCCCCCCCCCTCTTCCTTTTTCTTCGATTAATTAAATTTTAATACAAAATTCTTTGTCTCTGCTACTATTTGACCTTGTTAGTTGATAGCAATGATTTCGACACCTCATTTATTCACTCGTCTTATTTTCTTTCATGTTTAGATCTATCTTTATATCAGACCAAAAAAATCAAATGTGATTTTAATATATACATTTTTTGAGGAAAAAATTCATTTCAAGTTGCGGATCAATATTTGCCGAGTGTGGAGAATTCAGATTCCATGACTCAAAAAACAGAACATGTAATAAGAATACGAATATTGACTCGGATATATCGCAATAGCAAGCATTAGTACAATACACACACACACACATGATGTCATAGTATAATTAAGTCGATACGAACATCCAATGCTCTCTTATCAATCAGATCTATTTTCGAGCATTGCGTAGAAAATTTCCCATTCGTCAGACTGAGAAGTTGAAGGTGTTTGTTTTCACTAATTTGATCTGAAAGGGTACTAAGAAGTTGATACAGAAGCGTTTTTGCTTTCAACAAGAGTCAGAATGAGAACAAACAAACAAACAAACAGAAAGAAAGAAAGAAAGAAATCATCAAATCAAATTGGGTTTGAATAGCTCGGAAAACTAATTCTTCAGAAAGAAATTTCAACACCTAACCTTAACGGAGAGTGACTTGTTCAGCCTTTCATTCACTTGACCCACCCACCTTCCTCTTCACTTTTCTTCTGAGTCGAGTCTCTTTCTCTCTAATCTACGCCTTCTCTTTATGGTTGGTCTGAAAGTATCAAACTAACGCTATGTGGGTGCACAGACAGAGATACTAACAGATTCGGATACAGCAGTCAAAACACCGATTGATTTAGATGATAGTGATCATAATAAGCCATGAGGCTCCATCTATGACTCTATATATGAAAAAGTTCATCCTAGAAGAATAAGAGGAAACTGTATTCGGGGTGTGAAGTGAAATAAACCAGGCTTTTGCCATTTCATAGAATGACAAATTCACAATTAGACCAAGCTCTATACCTTTCTTTTTTCGCTTTTTTTCCTGAGAATCATTCAAAAACCCAATAATCTATGATCAAAATCAGCCATAACAACAATCAAAAGCTTGTGCTCATGCACGAGCTCAAGATGGGGACTCGGAGACTCTAGGTGAAGTGAGGGGGAAGAGAGGCAAGAGCTGCGGCTCTGAGTCTCTAGGAGTGGACATGGGCGACGGATGGAGATAAAACCCCTTCTCGGCGATGGCCCTGTCCTCCTCCGACGAATTCCCAAGCGACGGCGACGACTTGTCAAAGGGATCGTCGTTGAGCGGCGTGACGGGACTGAGCGTGAGCGAGGGAAAATCAAGAATACTGGGCGACAAGATCTCCGGCTTGCGAGGCGACGAAAATCCAGAACTGTGAGCGTAATTAGGAACGAGAGTATTGATCATGAGGCTGTTCTTCAGGGAGTTCCTCCTCTCGTAGAGCTTGAATCCCTGCTTCTTAGGGGCGGTCTTGACGGGAGGGATGCTGAAATTCTTGGCGGCGGCGGAGGAGGACGACGACGGAGGAGGGGGAGGAGGAGGAGGATGATCTTGGGCCGGCGGGTGAGAAGAACCGGTGAGCATCTGAACGACGTGCTTGAAAGAGGAAGTGTCGGCCTGGACGAAGGTGGTGGGATAGGGATTGGCGTCAGATCTGGGGAAAGTGGGAGTCTTAGGGGTGAGAGGAGGCGTGGGAATCTGGGGAGCACCATTGGTGGTGCTGCTGCTCGCATTGCTTTTCGGCGAATCCATACAGAACTGATTGTCTCTGTCCATGGCCTTCGACATGATCTCCATTGATACGCGTGCGTCTTGTTGTCAGCCTGAGAGACGCCGGCGGAGGGTGGCGGAAAGTGGAGAGAAAAATGCGAGCAGGGGAGGGGGTGAGGGATATTTTATATAGGGAGAGAGAAAAGGAAGGGTAAATGGGTAATTGAGAGTTGGAATCTCTCTCTCTCTCTCTCTGTGAGTCTCTGTGTGGCTGTGGACGCCACAAGACTAGCAAAGTCATTACAATGCGTTTAAATATATCACAGCCTTTGACTTGTGGAGACTCTTATGCTGAACAAAAGTACCAATTGCATTCCTCTTCTGCTTTAGTTTCCTGCATCTTATTCACACGTTGCAATGAGGTGAGCACCGATTCGTGAATTTTTTTTCCTGAAGCAGCGTCTCTGGTCCAATGAATATTGATTTGTTGAAGTTGACAATCACATCTGAATAGGTGAAACATTATATTGGTTGTGGGTTTTTCTTGTTTGACCTTCAAACGTTGCAGTACAGTTTCAGTAGAAGAAGGAACTTGCTTGTCTCATAATTTCCACATGCGTGTGTTCAATTGAGTAGGGCCATTCGATTGATCGGTGAAGGTGTGTGAGCGTTGCTGATTGATTGTAGCAATGATTGAGTTGGTGATTCACACAATAGTAATAGGCAGAGTGTGTGTGTGAATGGGAGCCAAATAGCAAAGACGTTGAAGGAAGAGCGGTGAAGGCTGAGTGAAGGAGTGATTGTTTTTGGGGTAACTTCTGGGGCCACATCACCTGAGCACCTCTCAATCTCTTTTCATGCCTCCAATCTCATTCGAGTCCTTACTTGCAAGTAACACTTGCATATGGTTGTAATCAATTTTACGGCCAGAACAATCTGATACACATATAATTCAAAATTTCCTTATTGTTTAATTGTTAATTAATTAACTAGGAAATTAAGTTTACTAAAATGAGCTACTTTTCCCTAACATATCAAACTAAGTTGTGAATTCCTTTTAAAATAAGCGCTTATATTTTAATACTCACTCATGCTTTGAATACAATTACTTTCAATAAAAAGACAATGTAAAAAAAATTAATATATAGGCTAATAAGGTGAAAAAGGGACCATTGTTTTTTTCCCGGGGAAAAAAAAAGGAAACACATGCATTTCATGCGATATTTATTGATTTTAAAAAGTTTTAAATATTCAATACATAAAATTAGCGGTTCTTTCTTCTCATTTTTTTTGACTGCACTATTTTTTTGATTTCATTATCTAGGAATTGTCAAAATGTGTTAGGTTACTTTTTTCCAGCAGTCCTAACTCCTAAGAATCAATATTGTAAAATCAAACCAAATCCTCGTCTAATGTATATAGCTGTCCGGTTCACCAAGTTGATAGTGATTAAATTAAAGGTTAATATGCAAATTGGACCTTAAATTATAAATTTGGGGACGATTTAAACCTAAACTTTTAAAATATACATTCTAAATTCTAAATAATTAAAGTTAATGCATCCTTACCCCTATCGTTAGTTTAAAATTAACGGTGGTTACTTTTTAAATGTAGTGGGGCCCACATTTTGCATTTTCTGTATTCATGTCTCGACAAACTTGGACTAGCTCATCACTCTTTAGCTTTTCTTCTTCCACTCTGCAACCTTAAACTGGCTCATCACTCTCTCCTCTCCTCTCCTCTCCTCTCCTCTCCCTACACTCTTGTCATAGGCATTTCCTTGTTGCAAGACATGTATGGCCATTTCACCTACTCTCTCACGGTTCAACTTGTGCTTCAATCTATATATCATCTGGTGTATATACCTTCAAACAACAACAACAACAACAAGCCTTTATTCCACTAGATAGGGTCGGCTACATGGATTGCAAAACATCATTGTGCTCTATCATTTATCAAACTTTTAGAAATATTATTAATTAAGAGATCGCGTTCAACAACTTTCAAGAGTGTTTTCTTAAGCCTTCCTCTACTCCTCTTAATCGGACTCAAAGTTATATGTTTCACTCTTCTCACTGTGCCTCCCTTGGTCTTCTTTGTAAATATATGTTCCACTCTTCTTTGTACATACCTTCCCATGCATATTTTTCTACGTGCAATTTGATTAAAGCTATATTTACTGTCTTATTCTCACATGCCATGTAATCCTGTATAATGTATAGCATCCAACGTTACCATGAATATACTTCAGGGAAATGGCATTCATAATTTCAGCTTTCAGGTACACCTTGCTACTATTCTTACTCGAGTGTAAAGCTACTACTTTTTTGATTTGGAGCTAGTAACCTAAACAGTTAGTAGCCTTCGTTGTAAAATTTGAGGTGGACGACGACATCATATCCCTAGATAGTTTAGACATATTGTTGCTCTAAACTAAAACTAAGATTGACATCCATAGATGTATTCGAGTTTGAATCCAACGATCCACATCCTCTGCTTTGACTCCACATTATCTTCATCTACAAGCATTAGATGCTCGCTCACTCCAAGCCACACCACAGGAGTCTAACTTCAACCAATTTGAAATAACATTGTTAAGGAGCCTACCATTATCAACAGTTGTTGCTAAGGATGTGTCAGGTCAGAGAGGGACTAAGATGCCAAGAAACAACCATGTCAAGTACATACATGTGGTGTTGTGTGTGGTCGTGTTTGGGTGAGATCGTGAGATCTTGCACGTCATGTTGTGAACATCTTCTTCTACTTTAATTGCGTAGGGCAAGAGGTGAGATATATATATATATATATATATATAAGGAAGGGGAGAGAGTTAGAGATAGAGATAGAGATAAAAAAGATGTATAATGTGGGTCTCACTATATTTAAAAAGTAACCACTGTTAGTTTCAAATCAACAATAGGGGTAAAGATGTCCGTTTAGGTTATGATTTAAATTTAAGAGTTAATATAGTCAGGTGAGGATGCATCAACTCTAACCTTTTAAAAATTTAGAGTTCAAATCACCCTTAAATTTATAGTTCAAAATTCAAATTGCATATTAGCCTTTAAATTAATTATATTTCAACTAATATTCAATCATATATACTATATGCATAATAATAATAATAATTAATTACCCAAAGATGTTGATTTAGGGAAAAGGGTTTTGCTTATAAATAATGATTTGAATTTATGCCCATGAACTCCTTTCAAATTGATTTTAGTAAAAGCTTGAGCCTGAACTTGAACACCCGAGGCTGAATAAATTATATGGTGAAGGATTTAGTAATAGGTTTATGTACAAGATGATCATTCATCAAAATATAAAATAATAATAATAATAATAAATTTAATTATATACTTTAAATTTTAACATGAAAATTTAATATTATGTATTTATTTTAAAATATAGTGAAAGATTTTCATATTTTATAGGTAGATAAATTGATGGAAGAGTAAGATTTATACACTTGCCCTTATATGTTTAATATACTTATATTCAATTAAATTATAATAAATGAATTTTAATATGGTAATAAAATTAATATAGAAAATTATCATAAAATAAATAATATATAAAATATTCAATTTAATTAAAACTAAATATGCTAAATATATAAGGTTTTTTTTTTTAGAACACGCACACGGATATCTAGAGCTGGAGCTGAGGAATAGTGAAGAGAGACAACAATCTTTCCACGGTCGTCATCCCCACTACAAGACAAATTATCTAATGACAAAAGGGGTCCCCCCAACAGAAAAAGGAAAAAAATAGAAAATATTCTATTTTATACACATTTTTATAAACTGATATATAATCCAAATCATGTCAAAATTAATACCACTTTGTACTATAATTATTTAAAAAAATTTTAATTTTCATATATTTGATGATTTATCAATGTTGAAAATGGCCTATCTCCATTTGACTGGAAATGACATTAAAAGACCAAAAGATAAAATTTAAATAAGAAACAAACAATTTGAAAATTATTTTAATTTAAAAATTTATTAATATTTGCTGGAAGCAACCTCTTGCTGCTATGTCGTTTCTTTGTAAAGATAAGATCTTACGCTCAAGTGCTTAGATGTCTGTAGACTGACTATTTAAAACTCCAGCTTAGCTTTTCTATTTAAAAAAAAAAAAACAATTGGTTCCTATCACATCCATGATTGTTAGCCATTCAAACAGGAATTTGCTAATAAAATGATTACATATATATATATATATATATACGGGTAATTTTAATATCCTCATGGGATTGAGAAGTTGTTAAACTCAAATGGTGTAAAATATAAACCTCACCTTACCTCAATCTTGAAGAGAATCGTTGATGTTACGTGAGCTCTGCTATTTCGTTTACCGATTGAGGAAGACATAGTCATGCGAAGTGACATTAATATTTATACGCTTGAAAGTGTTTCTTAGATATTATTCTCATTACCCAATATTGCACCAAAACAATTTTTTTTTAAAAAAAAAAGATCCGGTAAATTAAATTATGATAAATATGGTTGCAATAATATTGAATGGTGCAAGTGAATCTGTTCGGTTCCCAAAACAAAGTGCAGCAGAAGTACTTGTCGGACCCTAATTCACCATAACTCTTATTCTCCCACGAAGCACCTCATTGGCGACACGATATTTCATGTCCACTGCCGTAGTGGTTTAGATATTTTTCCACGATTTTTTAAAAAACATAAATAAATCAAAGTTTGGAGAAAGTTACCATAAATATAAAGGAAAAAAAAAAGGGGGAGAGAGAATCACATTCTGATTTCAAAGAACGGACAGGGAAGGAGGGGGACCATTAGATCGAATGCCTATAGATATATATATATATACACAATGCCACTGCGCTAACTTTGTGCTAATTAATTAATTAATTGCCGTCATTAAGGATATAATTATGATTAAGATCGTGGGAATCCTTTCTTAAACTCCATTATGCACATCTGTTATTGAAAAATTAATGAATTTGATTGCTGGTTTAAGTGCCAGAAAAGCAACGAACACTATACATATGACATTGGATTCTCAGAAGGGATTTAGCTGTAGAAAATCAAGAGATTTTTTTTAACAAAAAGAAAAAAATCTTTTTTTTGGATTTTTGAATTTGATTGTGCATGGTGAAATTTATATATGTGATATCGCAGATATTTTCCAGAGAAAGAAATTTAGAGATACCATGGCCACCCAGTCAGTGGGAAATGAGTAAGCATGGAAGAATAATGACTCGGAATACCAATTCATTGTTATTTGCTATATATATATATATATGCCTTG